CAGTATTTCAATTATTCCACTTGGATCAATATTTAATGTTGCAGTTACAGTTTATATAAATCTTTGAATAGATGGGCGTTGATTTTAAATGGCCGTCGCCTTTAAATACGCAATCGTTGTAACGTACAGACCATTTGGTGAACGTCAGTTGGTTCATTGTGATAACAGCCGGTGGCGGCGCTGCAAAATGGAGAATAATTTCTGTTTGAAAGCTTTTCTCCTTCTCGGTGTAGATCCTAACCGCCCTATAAGAAAATGGTTTGTTACTTTCAACAACTTGTTAGCAGCATGGATTATGTCTCTATCTATATTCAAGTGTTATCTCGATAGAAATCTAGAAAATATAGAACCAATAAGTTTAATTATTATGGTAAGTTCATTTTCTAAATATTTATAAATATTATAATATTTATAACTTTGTATATTCTTTTACAGATATTTGTTAAATATTTTTCGCTTGCTTTTGGTGCCAAAACGGCCAAACAAATTCTGGAATCCAAGGAACAATTTTGGGAAGTCGATATTGTTGATGACGAAATAACGTATTTAATTCAATATATGAAAGCAATAGAAAAATGGTATGAAAGTTCCGTAATTGTCGGCGCATGTATATATACAGTACTCCCCTTACTTTCGATACACTCTTCTGTGTTTAACTGCATTATACCTCATTATATACCGTTTCCATTATTTTATATCGTCGAAATTTACATAATTATAGTTAGCTCGTTTGTCTTTGTTTATTTCAATATATTTGTATGTTCTCTCATAGTTTCGGCTACTATTCAATTTAGACTAGTAAATTTGAAAATTAGGGATCACAATCTTAAAGATATTGAAAATAACCGGGATGTTGAAGTGTATGTTCGGAACATGAAGAAGATAATCAAACATCAACAGTTACTTATGAGGTGAGTCTGTTTCATTTTAAATTAACTAGCTTAACTTTAATCACTGTTTGCAATAGGTTGCATGAAATTTTTTATCGACGATCGTGTCCAAAATGGCAATGTTTCAAATAATTTCCAGTGTAAAAATTAGCTTTTATAAGGGCCTGTGCAAAGAGAGTGAATTACAAAATAACTATGTAAAGTATAACCACCCAGTGTTCATACGTAAATAAGTTAGCCTTCCTTGCCTGGTTAGTGTCAGTGTCCAAGCCAGGTCTATTAGTTTTCATTTTTCCCACATTTACTTTACTGTCATGGTCCTTTGTATAATTATCTTGAATACTTGACCATGAGTCTATCTTTTCAGTAGCCGATTGCTATTAATTAACTTATCTTAACTATAGGCTGTTGATTATATCCAAAAAAACAGGGTTAAAAGGAACTATGACGTTCAAGCAATTTTATTGCATGAATCGTTGAAATGGTCATTTTAGAAAAAACCGCGGAGTGCTATTTAATTGGAGGGTGGAAATTGGAGATATTGGTGAAAATGCACCCTTTCAGTTTTTTAATTGTAGCTCGAAAACGAAGCAAAATTTCGCTATAGTTCATAGAAAAAATTTTGTAGGGAATTGAATTTCTCATCGAAATGGCTTATTTAAAAAATGTAAATGGAAAATTTTATGCAAAAAATCGCTAATAAAGAATTTTAAAGAAAACAAATAAGATTTTTTGATTTTTTTTTATTTTTTTAATAAAATAATTAATTAAAAATTTTAGAATTTAAGTGCAATAAAGTTTATTAATAATGTATATACAGTGTGTCCACGGATGGAGTCATAAATTTAAAAAACACGAAAATACTCAACAGAGCAATACCATTATTTATTATTTTACACAACATTTTTATAAAAACAAATCTGTTTATAACCTTAAATAATGTTCTAATACAAATTTTAAAATCAAAATTTCAATTTTCGGGGTGGGAAGTAGCTATACATATAGAGTAAAACTCAGAATTGAAATTTTTATTTTAAAATTTGAATTAAGACAATATTTGAGGTTATAAACAGATTTGCTTTATAAAAATGTTGTGTAAAATAATAAATAATGGTACTTCTGTCTTGAGTATTTTCGTGTTTTTTTTAATTTATGAGCACCCTGTATATCTAATCTAAGATGTTTGTATGGCAGACTCATTTTTTTGAAGAGCAGAACTTTTTATAAATAGTGACATTTTTGGTAAAGTCAAAAACAAAAGAGTTTGTCCTCTTGTCAACTCCATTCGTGGACACACACTGTATATACATTATTAATAAACTTTATTGTACTTAAATTCTCAAGTTTTTACTGAATTATTTTATTAAAAAAGTAAAAATATCAAAAAATCTAATTCTATTCTTTTACATTTTTTAAATAAGCCATTTCGATGAGAAATCTCTACAAAATTTTTCCTATGAACTATACCGAAATTTTGCTTCGTTTTCGTGCTATATTTAAAAAACTGCAAAAGTGCTTTTTCACCCCTATCTTCAATTTCAACCCTCTAATTTAATAGCACCCCGCGGTTTTTTCATTTTTAATTACCCTCCGAACAAGCCATGTGATGAAAATCCTCGAACGTCTTATTTCCTTCCTTTTTTGCAAAAAATGAGAATTTAAATGTATAAGGGTAAACGCGCCGAAAATCGAAAAATTGGCTAAGTTTGAGCCAATATATCAGTCAATTTTCATCCAAAAATACTTACAACCTCTCGTTTTGAAGGAAATTTTATCTACCTTTTTTTCTATGAAACAATGTATATACCTACCCATCTTTACTCAAAAAAAAAAACTAGAGGCAAAAAGTAAAACAAAAACAGAAAATCGAATTTTTTCCATAAAATTTTCCTTTTAAATTTTTTAAATAAGCCACGTCGATGGGAAAGGACCCCGCACTTTTCTTATGGGAAGTGGCTTTCGGCCAACTTCGCAGATTGATAGTTCTTAATATGTAGATCAAAAGTCTCAATGGGCACAAAGCTCCAAATCCACCCTTTCCCCCAAAAAAACTGACTCCAAGTAGCGGGGAGTATACTTGTCGTTTTATAATAAAAAGTTTCAAATAAAAGTTTTTTATTTCAATGAAATCTAAAAAAACTATTCTTGTGTTTTTTTCGAAAAATCAATGTTTTAGTTTTAAAACGCCACTAACGTTTAACACAGAGTATACGTATGATAGCTATAGATATATGTGTTAAGTTTAATAGCGTTTTACAGCTTGAATATTACTTTTTCGAAAAAACACAAACTATTTTTTAGATTTTGTCAAAATAACTAACTTTTACCTGAAATATTTTTTCATAAAATGACTAATAAAGTTTCGGCAGCTATATAAACAATTAAATTAAATTAGTTTGATAGTCAAAAATGTGGTTATTTGGGGTCGCTGTTGGGTTGATTAAAAAATAAATTATTGTTTTACATGCAGAAACCAGTTAAATCTCCCCATTACTTGGAGGCAGTTTGGGGGGGGNAAGAAAAGTGTGGGGTCCTTTAATTCTCTAAAAAATGTTTCCTATGAAGCATAGCGAAATTTTGCTTCGTTTTCGAGCTACAATTAAAAAACTGAAACCTTTCACACCTATCTTCAATTTCCTCCCCCTAATTTAATAGCACTCCGGGGTTTTTTCATCTAAATTGACCATTTGAACGATTCATGTAATAAAATATCTTGAACGTCATAGTTCCTCTTAAAATCCTATATTCAATAGCCTACAAGAGTAGTGCAGATTTGCACTGTGTAAACATTTTTGTTTCCTTTCCTGTGGCCAAAAAACAGTAGATCTTGTGCTGTTATTGGTAACTTAAAGGTGGCGCATCTTTTATAAATTCCAATTATTCTGAATTCTGGAATAATTTGGAGGGTAACTCAGTATACTGAGTTATAGCTCCATCCATTGGATCCCTTGTGCATCCCTCAACGAGAGATCAGCTCTCCTAAGCCGTTAACCAGCCTATCAAGGAGAAAAAGGTGAGAGATCCCTCTCTGATGTAGCACGGACTCTCTTGTTGACGAGACACCAGTGTACTCGCAGAGTATATGGAAAACTGTGTCATCTTCCTGCTCACAACCTCTACAAAGAGGTGTTTCGCACTTTCTAATATTGTAGAGGTGTTTTCTTAGCCAACAGTGTCCAGTCTGAATACCCGACACCTCAACGTTCATTTTCTGAGTTTCACCTCATGTGTATTCACCGACAATGCTAACAATTGTTGCTATTAGTCAGCACACTACGTAATTATAATTATAAAAAAATTAAATGTATTAAGATTTAATTCATCATTAAGTGACGTGTATTAGTTATTACCTCATTTACAATTTTGTATATTTTATTCATGCTGAGCATTTTTAATTTCTTGGTTCGGCATCCCACAAAACTGCTTCAAATAAGTCATTAATAGTCCAGGAATGTTAGACATAAAAAGACGGAATAAGCGAACTTTTTTACTTTGAGATTTTTTTATAGAAAAGTGTAGGTTTTGAGGTCAGAAAACATATGTCAGACACGCAACTTCCAGCAACATTTTGAGATATACTTCTATGAAAAATTTCGATTTTCCCAATAGTTTTTCCGTATATTTTTCAAATGAAATGCAGATTATGACAAAATTAATGTTTTGAAGCCAAAATAATGTTATAATAATAATAATTAAATTCATTTTTAAATAACAAAAGTGAATTAGAGAAAAGAAAATTGAGGATAATTCTTGGAAAATCTTATATAGTTCTCCGAGGTTTGAGTATTTACGAACAAACGTATCATTTTATAGGTGTTCGAGGGTGTACAGGCTGGTCCATTTTCGATGGGAATTTCAGAAACTACTAAAGATATGATAAATCTGACACCACGTTCTCGAGCTCGATTTTCATGGCAAACTCGACGTCAAATCAGAAATTTGCTATATTCATTTGTTTGTGAGTTACAGGGCGTTTCTTGTTATTGTCACATTTTTGAACATGTGTGTATCTCAGCTGTTAAATAAGTTAGAATTAAAGTGAAAACTGATCAAAACTAATTCTTTGGCGTAGAATTGAATGCCAGTATTAGATTTTTAGTAGATCTTAAGATTTCGGAGTTATGACCCAAAGTTATATTTTTTTAAATGGAAATCGTAGCTGACCATGGCCTAAAAAAATAGAGATTTTTTTTTGCTTTTTAGCAATATATCACATACTATAGTTATTTTTACAAACACAGGAGATACGGTGTATTTTATATATAAATTATATATGTTTTTCCTTTTTAATATGGCTGGCTATGGAAATGCATATAAAACTGTAATTCCTACTTTTACAAAACTCATATCTGTTGTAGAAATATGACGTTTATTTTAAATGCACAACATATACTCGTATGATAATATAATACTAACGAAATTTTAGGAGATAGGTGGATAGGAACAAACGGANATTGGGAAATTCGAAATTTTTCAGATGAGCAATTTTGTAAGAAATTTAATTTTGAACTACTCTTCTTTGAAACTTTTTTCGAAAAAACCGCATCTTCATTGAGATATTGGCAGTTTTCTATAAAAAAATATCAAAGTAAAAAAATTCGTTGATTTTTTTTTATTTTCCTGGATTAGGGTTAAAATTATTTAAGATCGATATTTTGTTCAGCTATCAGTAAATTTTCAGTAATTCCAATCAAAGGCTCGACGGTTCATATGGTTCGTCTTTTCTGAAAAAATAAGGAATAAGAACACACCTGTCGTTGAATTGTTTGTACATCAAATCATATTACTTTTGTGACTTCTCAGGTAATTAAGTTGACGTTAGCGTGAGTGCGATTTGTGCGGGACTTTTGGGAGACAAATATTTTCAAACTCGTCTACATTATTATAAACGTTATGAAACATTTGATATTTTTATTAAAACTGTTAAGAACAACAATGGCAACTTCAACTACAGCAGTTTAATGACAATATATTTTCCGTAATACCCATTAATACCTATTAATTATTGCTTAAAAAGATAATAATATATATTTTAAGTCTTAAACCCATCCAGTTACATTTCTGAAAAGTTTGATGTTCAATATTTTCTGTCTTCTATTTATTAATGACAAAAAAATAATTCAGTTTCTTTCCAGGTACGTCGACGATTTAAATACAGTATTCAGTGCGCCAATTG